GTGTGGCGCCCGCCCCTCGCTCAGCCAGTGAGTGGCCGGTCTGTATGTGGGATCCGAACCCTCGGGCGGGAGCGTCGCCGCGCTCCCAAGCGGCTCACTGTAGCAGTGCACCACCGGGCTGGCCCAGAATTTCTATCTTTCTTTTCAATCTATATGCCTTTTATTTTTTCTTCTTGCATCTAGCACTGAGTAGTTCTATGTTATTTTAGATTAAGGCAAAAATGACAGAAATGGATGACCTAATGTAGTGGATTGAATGTCTCTCCTCAAACTCACTGAAGCTTGAATTGTGTCCCCCAAGTTTTATGAATTAGAAACTTGGCCCCCACTGTGACTGTTCAGAAGGTGGGAACTCCTGCTATGGTAATTGAAAGGTGGGGTTTTGAAGAGGTGATTAGATTGCAGGACTGTTCCCTAGTGAATAAATTAGTAATGGTGGTCAGGGGTGTGGTTCTTGGGGCTCTAAAAGGACAGTGAATGAGGAGGTTGTTCTTTCTGCTTCTACCATCTTGCAGTGTGAGGGGTCACTGTCATCACCACCAGATATATATGTTCCTTGGACTTTGGACTTCCCAGCCTCAGAAACTGTAAATTTCAATTTCTTTATCAATTACCCAGTTCCAGATTTTTTGTTATAAGCAACAGAAATGGACTGATACACCTAGAAATTCTTCTCACAGGTGAGCAAATTCTAATGATGATAGGGGTATATACAGGAAGTCATGTAGGTCTGAACTAAATCAAGACAATGACCTGGAAATGACCTGACTGTTGAGTGGTGTTGTAATACAGAGTAAGATAACCCTTTAGATCTCTGGGCCTTGTTCCACAGGCTACTTCCAAAATATTTTTTAAGATCCAATTTGGATTTTCCAGAGAAACTGTGCCCTAGAGCATATTTCATCAAGTGTATGACAACTGCTTCATAGACTATTCTACCCTGGTGTCTAATTTTGATTGGGGTTATGGATATGCCTTTGGGCTTATAATTACCAATTACTGATAAATAAATTCTTCTATGACATTGAAAAATCAAAAGAAATGGAAGACAAAACCCGAAAATTTCCTATTGGTGGTTTTTTTTTTTTTTAAACCATTTTCCAACTCCTCTGCCCAGAGAAGTTAGCTAATTGATAATTGAATCAAGGATGAATTTTGTAGATGGTGATAATAATGGTTGTAGCTTTTAACATGTTTCTTTAAGTAACCTGGTAAATCTGAGAATTGATTATTAAAGACAGTTACAGCCATGACTACTAAGAAATGAAAATATTTTGAAGAGAAGACTCTTGACTGTACGGGCCTGGGCTTCCTTCCAGCAGGAAGGCTCTGGCTTGGCACTGGCTCTGCCCCTCCCATTGGCCCACTGACCTGGCTGCGGCCACTCTAGAGCCTGTGAGGTCACCAGACAAACTCCCATTTCTGAAATTCTTGTGCTGTCCCCAGATGTGTGGCAACCATAGTATCAAGAAGAGAATGCAGGGTGTGGTGGGAAGGAGCATGGGGATACCAGGGCCCTGGATTCCCTCTGCTGCTACCAAGCTGCCTGTTTTGAGCCTCCGGGCTCTGGGTCTTCCTTACGGACAGAATGAAGGAGTTTGACAATACCTCAGTGATAACAGGAAATAGATATTTAATTTTCATGGTGTGCAATTCCTTCCTTCCTTCCTTCCTTTCTTCCTTTCAAGAGTTTGTAATATACTCTTCCCAATATCACAGTTACTCTGTGAGATGAACTAGAAAAGTGCTTTGTGCATTTTACTGGTGAAAAAGCTCAAGTTCAGAGAGGTAAATGTCACATAGGTAGTAAAAGTGGCAGAGCCCATGGCAAGGGGCAAACCCAGCTCTGCTGACTTCTGGTCCAACATTCTTTCTATAATCTCATAGGAAAAGGGTTGCAAAGGCCTATTTCTGTTGGCTGACAGTGTTTTCAAAAGTCTACAATTGCCTGTGCTTGTCCCTCACATAGCCCCCGCTACTCCATGTAGGACCTGATGCCCACCATGTGCCCATTTCTATGATCTGCCTGGTCCTTGAGTTGGGATGCTGTCAAAGAAACATATGTGTGTACATTATTTGTTTAATTCCACTGTTTTAGCATTTTTACTATTACACGTATTTTTTCTTCTCTGTTTCATCGCTTTACAATACTAAACTTGTTAATCTGCATCAAAATAATTTTAAGTAAAAGCACTGACTTTATAACAGTGAAACAACTTGGCCTGTGGTGGCAGATTATCTATTTGGGTAAGAATTACTGTATTATACGAGACCAGAATATGGTAGCATGTCAACCTTTTATCATTTGAAGTCTATTCACCCAAAATTTTATTTCCGAAGTTTCAAGATCTGAATTTAGATACAGACAGAAACAAATAGAAGACTTTTTAGAGAAGATGCTCCTCACCCCATTCCCTAAAGTTGCAAAGCCAAGGTATGCCTCTGTGAATACACGCTCTGTTAAAAGTACATAAAAGGGTCATTCATACCTCTGGATTGAGACTGAAAGCTTTTGCTGGTTTTCCCACACAAAGAAAATCAAAAATGATTTCTTTCATTGCAAAATCTAAACGTTCCTGTAGGGAAAATAAAACAAAAGTGTTAAAATACAAATTCAACATGAAATGGCTATTTTCATTATATGCACCAAACAGGTGGCTGCTAAAAGGAGAGGGAATGCTCCATTCTACGGATCACAGAAAATCGCTGAAGGAAAAACACACCCATTGAACCGCTGGTGGAGCTGCTTCTATTTTTACAGTGTGCAGGGTTGCCTTCATTACATAAGATATGTAATCAGCCCCTAAAGCACAGAGTGACTAACGACAAAAAAAACAAATTTCAAAAAATGAAAACACTTGGGGGTGGCTAGGCTTATAATCAGTCCTAACTCTTCCTACTTATACTGGGAATGCTGATATCTTCTTGAAACTCACTTTGAAATGTATTTTTAAAGATATCACTGCCATATTGACCATTTTCTTCTCTAACTACAACAAACAATACTGAAAGTGAGATGAATAATCAACAAATAAGACATATTGGGCCGGCCCGGTGGCGCACTGCTACAGTGCGCCGCTTGGGAGC